GATTTGAGGGGAGGGGAAATAGGCTCCACTCTCGATGGCCCCCATGTGCAGAGAGGGAAGGAATTGGTGGGGCCACTTGTGGAGACTATGTCCCAACAATGTACTCTCTGGTCACAGCAATTCATGTCCCTTCCACAAACAACATGTGTTTACCCCTCCCAAGATTCCCCAAAGTTTATCCCATTGTGACATCCACTTGAAGTTTGGAATCTCACTGTTTGATTCATATCTGGTACACACAGGGCTCTTGGGATATGGTTCCTCTGGGGAATATGCAGCTCCCCCAATATGGTTTACCTCAGTCTGAAGACTTGTGAATTTAAAGACAATTGTTGTGTCCACCACACACTTATTATGCAGTGGTGAGATGGAGATAGCATAGCCACCATAAACACTCCCATTTAGAAAGAGGAAATATTCACTGATTCATAAAAATTCTAAGTACAGTCAGGCACCCCTTGCTATTCCTCCTGTTGTAGAGGCAAGGAGCGTATCTGATTAATACCTACTTTGGCTCCTGGAAGTGGTTCCCCCATGGTCTTGGCTCTGGCCTCTGGGATCTTGGCTCTACCTTCTGAAGAATCATTTCCTTTCTATGACAAATGGCCCATGTTTTCTTAGCCTGCTTCTTGTCTGTAGGAGGTTAGAGGCCCAAAGGCCTGTTTTCATTTTAAACAGTTTCTATTCCTTTCAGTTAGAACTGCTATAATGCTTTTGAAAAGTTGATTAGTTTTTGGTGTATCTAATAATAGACTTTATTAGACAAAAGCCATACATGCAAATCTCTTTGAGACAAGCCCCTTTTAACCTTGGGCTGAGAATCATGATGATTTGGGACACCAAATATTGTTAGAAGCCCTGTTGCTTAGCTGGTAGTGTCTATGAAGCTGTGTTTAATATTCTTAGATGCTTTAGGTCTGCTGAGTCTGAACATGAGGCTCTGATTTCAGTCTGTCTGAGTCAGCAAAGGGGCTAACAGCCAGTCCTTTCTGCATCTTACCTGAGGGCTTGGTTTACTGCAGCACTTTGAATTTCCTCTTTGCTCTGAGGCCATCTCTTCCTCTGAGAACCTTTTGCTGAATGGAAAGATAGGCCTTCTCCAGTACTGAATTGTGCTAAAAAGCCAAACATTTCCTTCCATGGCCCATTTCTCTTTTGTATTTTATCATGGGCTGCTAGAAGAAGTCAGTTGCATTTTCAGCATTTTGGAAACCTCCTTAGCCAGATCCATAAGTCCATTAGCTGCCCTTTTCATCTTCTATGTTACCACAGGCAATAGTATTGCCAAACTTTCCAGCATTTCATAATATGGGTCACCTTTTCTAGCATCCAGTAATAATTTCCTCACCATCCATTCAGCATTCAGTAATGGTCTCCTGGAGGACAGTCAGACTCTGCCTGATGCCTGGTCCCCAAACCAACATCACAGGTTTTAGCCTTTGTTACAGTAGCACACTACTCCCAGGTGCTGAGGTCTCCTTCACTGTCTCTTACTACCTAACAAAATATCCTGAAACCAGTGACTTAAAACAACATTTCTCATGATTGTGTGGATTGACTGGGGATTCTTCTGCTTCATGTTAGTGAATGGGGCTCTGGGAGGTCCAGAATGGCTTCACTCATATGGTTGCCACTTGGTGCTGGCCACTGGTTGAGCACTTAGCTGGGGCTGATGCCAGGGGCCTCTGTTCTCCTGCATGCTGCCCAGCGTCTTAAGGCCTGGGTGCAGAAGCCCCTGAATGTCACAACTACCACATTCTATTGGTCACTGCAGTCACAGGACCAGTCCAGATGCAAGGGGAGGGGAAATAGGTTCCATCTTTGGGACGAGGAGTGGCATGCACAGACAGGGGATGGACAGCTGGGGCTGTTTCTGAAGAGAGCTACCACAGGAGGATTAAATGAGACAATACAAACAAAAGTTTAGAGTACAGTGTGGTACAAACTTGATACTAAGAAAGTGCTCTTATTATTATTGTTGTCAGTGCTGTTACTATGACATCATAAGAGCACAGCCTTCCGTCCCTGACTAGCAGGGGTGCAGAGGGGTAGTAGAAAGGCTAGGGGCTGGAAGCTTGGCATCTGAGGTTCTCATCCTGGTTTGGTCACCAAAGTGTGTGGTCAAGCCTTGTCAGCTTTTGGAACCTCAGTTTGTCTATGTTTTGGGGGTGATAACTGGCCTACTGAATGAGCAAGAGCTTCGTCTGCTATGCAGGGCAGGGCACACACTGAGGGACCCTTATGCTGGGTGTTGTCACTTCCAAAGTTGGCCTTGTCCCAGACTTGTCAGCACAGAAGGATCTAGCATTAGGATAGCTCAGACTCCTCAGCAGTCAGCAGGAACCTCCCTGACAGGAGGCAGTTGGCTCTCTATGAAGCATGGGAGACTTCATTAATTGGCCTGCAAAATGATGGAACAATACCCAGGAAGGAAGTAGGGATGAGAAAAGACCTTGGATGAAGAAAGCTTTTATGGGGTTGACTTGGGTTGGGGTAGGAGAGGGCACTGGAGAACAGTACCCCATCCTCCCCAGTGGCCTGGGGACTTACTAGAGTTCGTGGATGTTTCCATGATCTTTCTCCAATCCACCTCTTCATATACTCTTCCCAATGTATGGAACACATCTCTTCCTCCTGATTAACTCCTTACTTATGTTTACCTTTTGCTGTAAAATGTAAGCTTCATGGAAGACAAGCATCTTTGACTATTTTCTTCACTTAGGTGAACCCAAGCTTGTAGAACAGTACTTGGTACATAAAAAGGGCTCAACAATTATTTTTTGATTGAATAAATGAATACCTGCTCTTCCTTTAGGTCTCAGCTTCAGAATTACTTCCTTCAGGAAGTAACCAGCTTTCCTTGGTTAATAATCCTCTCACTGGGCTTCTCCTTTCTTCCTAGTACGAGGGGCCAAACCTCTTTGTGACCCCATTTCTCCTTGATGGTGAGGTGGCCATGGTGGCAGGGGAGGTGGGGCTCAGGGCCTCAGGACAGGTGGCTCTGACAGATGGAGAGAGCAGCATGTCAGTCTTGCCCAGTCCCTTGAGCCCGTAAGGTGGAAGGTACATCACCTTCAGAAGCATGGAGCTCTCTGGACTCCCCCAAGTGGCACATAGATGACCTCCCAAGACTGGCAGTCCTTAGAGTAACCCCTTTAAACCCTGGAGAGGGATTGTTCTAATCCCAGAGCAGAGCTCAGAGTCACTTCCCAAGGTCAGAACCAAAAAGGTCCTTGCAGAGTCTCTGGGTCAGCCCTCATCTGACAGGTGCTCAGGTACCTGAGCCAGGGCTATGGGGGCAGTGGTTGGGAGTGGGGAGGGGCGCTGAGATTGGCGAGAGCCAGGTAACCAGGTACTCATGCTCAAGAGTCTGGACTTCATCCTGAGGGCAAGGGAGAACCAGTGAAAGGCCAGGCTTGTGTTTTGTCAAGATTTCCTTGGCTGTGGTGGAGTGCGGGTTGGAAGGGGAGTAGAGCAGGACTCTAACCAGGAAAGTGGTTGGTAGCAGCAGAGAGAGGGAAAGAGAGGGTTAAAGAAGCACTTAGGAGATAGCAAAGGAAAGCACTCAGGGGCTTATCCATTTTAAGGCTGGGGTGCTGGCATGGATAGATCATAGGTTCAGGTTTGGGCAACTGTGCCGATGATCTTGACAGGGAAGACACGAAGAGACTTCAGTGCAGAAAGTTCAGCTTCAAGGTCTGCGGGTGTGGAAGGGTCGGCAGGACTGCCATGTGGAGGCATCTTGTATGAACTGGGGCAAGTGAGTCTGAGACTGAGGAGTGAAGTCAGTGGGAAGTGGGGAGAGGTTGGAGGACACTAAGTGTGGTGGCAATTGAAGGAAAGAGGCTGTTGGGATTGTCCAGGGAGCACTGAAGAACTTTAATGTTCAACAGCAAGGTTGTCTAGGTGAGGTACATAAGCCAGGAGGTAGGACAGCCGGGGAGGAGCTGAGGGCCTGGAACAAGACAGAACATGGAAGCAGAAGGCCCAGTACTCAGGGCTCAGGAAGCAGCAGGCAGAGGAGGAGGCAGAAGAGCCTTGGGTGAGGGACTGCGGGCGCCCAACGGATTCCAGGGGGCAGTGAGGGCGGTTGTTGGGTCCTCCTAGGGCAGCACGGGGCGAAGGTGGGAAGGGACAGGCCTGGAGGAAGGGTGTCAGCACCAGGCAGAGGGAAGAGAGAGAGAGGCAGCCAGTAAGGAGATGGACTGCACAGGAATTGGATTGGGGCCAGAGGATGGCTTTCCAGGCCTGGCACTTCCAGAATGGGATTAAGGGCTTTTCAAGATTTTCTTCCAGAGAGCTCACAGACTCTTCCTGAACGGAGGATGCAAGAGGTCAGGCCATGCAGGGGGCTGAGGAGCCATGTGTGCCTTGGGGTGGAAGCTCTGAGGTGTGTGGGGATGAGGCAGTGAGGTGGGGAGTTGGGAAAGTGAGTCCCAGCTTCAGGGCTTCTGAGGAGGCTGTCCAGGTGCTGACTAGGTGTGTGTGTGTGGGAAAGATGGGCAAGGGATGGGTGTCAGGGTCTCATCTCTCCTGGTTCGGTGAACAGCCATGGGGATGGAGTGGGGGTGGGATGGTGTCCAGAATGACCCAGGCGCCCCCTGAGGTGCTGCATGTATGGCTGTGGGGGTGGGGGGCAGAGGGAAGGTGTGCCAAGAAATGGGTGTGTGTGTTGGGGGATATGGGACCAAAATCACACTCACTCACACACACTGCCGTCCAGCTGACCTCATGGACTCCTGGCTCCCTTCTGAGTCAGAGGGTTAAGTCCCGAACTGCCCCAGACTGACAGGTGTGCCTTGGGTGGAAGGTGCTGTGTGCATGGCAGCACTGCCTGGCCTGTGGGTGGGGGTGGGGCACTGTTTAGGGACAGGCTCTGCAGACGTCTGGGTTGAGGACAGGCCAGAATGACCCATCTTCAGGCCATCTTGCTGGGCTGGGGTGCTCATCAGTCAGTGGACATTTCTTTCACTCCAAGAAAGCAAGACATCACAGCAAAATATGGCTCCCCCAGTTTATTGGGAAAATGGGAGCCAAGAGGCCAGAGAGGCAGGGGAGGCAGCCCAGCAGTGTGCCTCCCAGGGAAGGCGAGTCCATCTCCCTGGGGGCGGCCAGAGGCCAGGAGAGCAGAAGGGAAGGGTCCAGTCCCAGGCTGCAGCTCAGCCAGGAGAACAAGCTGAGCAGGGGAATGGCCTACAGAACGGCTTCTCAGCTGGGGGCCGGTCAGGGGCAGTGGTATGTCTGGCAGGCCGAAGGGTCTTCTCTGGCTCACTCTTGGGGGCCACACCTAACACCTCCCCAGGCCGCAGGAACCCCCTCCACAGGTGGTGTTGAGCGGGCCGCAGGGTGCGCAGATTCCAGTGCTCACCACCAGATTCCCACTGCAGGGGGCGCTGCAGACACTGCCTGTCACAGGCTGGGAGCCTGACACGCACAGGTCTCCGCAGACGACCCCGCCCCGTGAGCTGCTGACACCTGTGGAAACAAGGGCAGGGTCAGGAGTCCTGTCTGGTGGCCACCCCACCTAGCCACTTTCCTTTGGCCTCTCTGATCTGGCCTGCCCTCCGGGGAAGGACACAAATGGCCTTCAGTTCTAGTTCTGAAGGCATGGCAGGAAGCTTAGCCTGGGAGCCAGGAGCCCTGGCTTCTGACCTTGGTTCTGCTGTGACCCTGGGCAGGTGCCTTCCTCTCTCTGGGCCTTAGCTTCCTCCCCTATACAGGGTGGGGGTTGTGCTGAGTGACAGCTGAGGTTCCTTCCAGCAGTGACATGTCATCCTTTCCCCTCCCTAACCCTATGCATGCTGTGAAGGTCTTCCTGTGAGCTAACCTCAGTCTCTCCTGTTGCATGACTGACTAATCCCCCTTATGAGGGGATTTATCAGAAACACTCTTTTTAGTGTCTCTATATACTTACAGCCAGGAAATTCTCATTGCTCAGTCTAAAATTTTCCTTTCCAGGGCTCAAGATACTTACAGACATTCACAGCTCCAACACCTTCACACAGCCTGGGTGGGGAAAAGGTGAGAGAGGGGAAGAGAAAAGAGGTCAGAATGACATCCTCAATTTCCTCAAGGTGCTGATATGGGTCATCTCAGGGCTAATTCTGGCCTATTTTTATGCCCTTGTATAACTTTAAAATGTGTCTTTCTGGCTGTTGCAGCAATGGCAGGGCACACTATTTGGCAAGCAGAGTATAGGCTGGGATTTAGCTCTCTCTTATCCCTCAGCAGGCTGCCTATGTGCAGTGCACAGCCTGAACAACTATACATGTCATACCTGAATGGGCTTAGCTTTAGGGAGTGAAGGTTCTCTTGAGCAGTCACATAAGGCCAGGGTCAGTGTTGGCAAACAACTCTACCCTAGGGCAGGGTGGTGGCCTACAAGCCAGGAGGAAGTGGACTGAAAAAGTTGAGGATGGAATAACTAAGGATGTTCTAAACCGAGAAGCAGCATTCCTAGGTCCTAATTCTATCAAGGCCCTGGGCTTTCTGGGACTCTAGATCACAGTGGCACTGGCTTTCATTTTTTTCTCTACATGCTATGTCCAAGTTCCAGTACTTTGAGGTCTGGGATCCAAAGATTTCAGAGTCTAGCTTGGGGCCAGTTCTTGGGACTGAGACCGGGATATGGAAGAATCAAAGGTGAACAGATATATGCAGGTAGAATTCTTGCGGCAGCTGGCTATGGTACCCACCTGTGCTCCTCGCCCTCCAGCAGGCGCCTGTAGGTGGCGATCTCGATGTCCAGGCCCAGCTTGGAGTTCATCACCTCCTGGTACTCCTTGAGCAGGCAGGCCATGTCCTGCTTGGCCTTCTGCAGGGCGGCCTCCAGCCCCGCCAGCTTGCAGCGGGCATCGCTGAGGGCGGCCTCACCCTGCTGCTCGGCCTGGGCCACTGCAGCCTCCAGCTTGGAGTTCTAGGGCCCCAGGAGAGAACAAGGTGGGTTATGGTCCCTGGGTCCCGCTGGCCATCTCCTGGTTGTGTCTGGTCTCTCCCAGCCAGTGGGGAACACCCAGGACAGGGCCCTTGCCTTCATCACCTGGGTCCCCTAAGTGGCCACAACCAGGGACTCTAGTCATGCAAACAGGCTGGGGAAGAATGGTGAGATCCATCCTGGGCACACACTGCCTGTGGGACTCTAGGGAGACCCCACGACCCATACCTGGCACTTGGCATTCTCGACCTCCGCGGTCAGCCTCTGGATCATGCGGTTCAGCTCATTGATCTCCTCCTTGGTGCGGCGCAGGGTCTCCCCATGCCGGATCACTGTGGCCTTGATCTCCTCGCACTGGGGGGAAGCAGAGATGCTCCTGAGGCTCAGGATGGGAACCCTACCCGTTCAGGTCACCATGGATGATTGTGCAGTGCTCAGACTGTGCAACCATATAGGGCAGCCCTGCCCTGCCATCCCCACAAACACCTTGAGAACTGTTTGCCCCTCTCCTGTCATCTCTAGGGAAGGACAACCCACAATTCATTAGGGATCAGAATTACAAACAAAGAAGTAGTTTCTGATATATGCATCACATCCCTCCCACTGCCATATCTAGGAGGCAGGTGTCCTAGGCCTCTCACCTTGGTGCGGTACCAGGACTCAGCCTCGGCCCGGCTGCGGCTGGCAATGTCGTCGTACTGAGCCTTGATCTCAGCCACAATACAGTCCATGTTCAGGTCCCGGCTGTTGTCCATCTTGACAATGACTGAGGTGTCTGAGATGTGGGACTGGAGAATGCGGATCTCCTGTAGGGGTGGGAGTGGGGCAAGACGAACAACAACCAAGTTATCTGGGCTTTTCCTTACCTTGTCACGCCCATGCCTATAATTCGAGTCAAACTCTCATGTTTGAAACAGAAAATCCTCTGATGAAACTGCATAACTTCCTGTACAGAAGAAATCTCTTTTAGAGGGAAACACAACCACTTCTTAAAGCTTGTTGCTGGGATTATTTAGGCCCATGTGAGCCTCGGCTGCTTCCTTCGAGCCAGCATGTTGCAGATGCTTCCTAGGGGCCCAGACTCTGTGTTGGGGCCTGTCCCACATTCATGGGACCAGTGCTGTAAAGAAAGGCTCTTGGCTGCCAGAGGAAATCTGGGCCAGAGAATGTGGGGTTGAGGCTGTGTGATGCTTTGTGTGGCTTGTGCTTTGGTTTCACAAGGCACAGCCATTCTAGATATTGCACCCTCTTGCCCCTTGCTGATTCTGTCCCTTTTTGGTTCTCCTATCCTCTCCTTCCCTTCTTCTCTCTCCTTGTTCTCCTCCAGGCTAGAGCCCCCATGGTGTCTGGGCAGGGGTTGGGATGCCCACCATGGCTGACAGCCCCCTCACCTCCTCATACAGCCGCCGCAGGAAGTTGATCTCCTGGGTCAGGGCCTCTGCGTTGGCCTCCAGGTCCGACTTGCGCAGGTAGGCGCAGTCTACATCCTGCGTGGGAATCAAGGGGTTATGAGGCCAGCTCTCATCAAGGTGTTCTGAGGGCTTGGCTGCGATACGGCAGAACAGAGAGGAGGGGCTCAGGGTGGGATCTGGCTTTGGGCACTCACCTTCTTTAGAGCCACAAACTCGTTCTCCGCCGTGGCCCGAAGTGCAACTTCTTCTTCATACCTGAGGCGGGCAGGAGAAACAGTACTGCGTCTGAGCAGCTTTCACTTTGGCCATGAAACATACATGCAAAGAAGCCTGACTCCTAGATGTCCCCTGCTGGTCCCCCTGCCTCCAAAGAAATGGGGCAGGACCAGAGAGAAATCAGGCTGCTGGTGCAGGCCCACTGGGGTATCCTGGAGAGCCGATGCACTCACTCTCACAGTCCCACTGAGCCTTTCGGTGGCGGTCGGGGACAGGTCTGGAAACTCTGTGTGTGGGGAAGTGGGAGGGTGGAAGGTGCCTGTTTTTCTTACCGTTTCCTTTCCTCTGACCCCTCCCCCTTGCCCCTGGCTTTGCTACAGGCAGCGGTGTGCCCTCTGTCACTCCCTTCTGGGCTCAGCCAAGAGGAGTCAAGCCTGCCGCACATCCTCCTGCTATGTGGGCAGGCCAGCTCAGAGCTAGAGGCGGGAGTGTGGTGGCCTGGGAGGTCCATGGCTGAGAGTGCTGCTGAAGGAAGCTGGCCTCACCTAGAAGCCAGATTCCTTTAGAGTGTCCAGTGTGCACCCTTCATATCGTGTGTCATGCTGTACCTGAGGGTCTATGTCTGTGACCATGCCCCGCCTGCTTCCCAGCAAAGTGTAAGTCCCACAAGGACAGGGACTATGCCTACCACTTGCCTCTGGATTGCTAGCACCCTGCCCAGTGTCTGGCTGGCACCTAGCACCTGGCAGCTTGCAGGCACTCAGAAAGTGTTAGTTGAGTGGAAGAGTAAACTTAGGAAGAGAGCTGGACTCAAAGGCCCAGGAAAACTAACTTTTCTGGGTTCCTAAGGAAGGGTCTTGTGGATGGAGAAAGGACGAGAGTATCATTCCCCTGACCTGCTGGTGGAAAGGCAAGGTGCATTCCATCCCCCGGGAAGCCATGACCCTCCCCTGTGCCTGCGAAAGGGCAGGGAGTACAGGTTCTTCCCAGTCCTCAGGCAGAGACCCAGCTGCAGACCCAGACCCTCCCCTGAGCTGGCACCTTCCTGCACTCACTTCTTCTTGTAGCCCTCCAGCACCTCCTGCACGTGGTTGAGCTCAGAGGCCAGCCTCCCGCTGTCGGCCTCCACACACTCGGCCTCCCGCCTCAGCGTCTCGATGTAGCCCTCGAACAGCGGCTCCAGGTGGCTCTCGCAGCACTGGCGATTCTGGTAGAACTGCCACTTGGTCTCCAGCAGCTTGTTCTGTTGCTCCAGGAAGCGCACCTGAGGCCCAGAGGTAGAATCTGAGAATCTCTTTTTTCAGGATCAGAGGGCAGAGGGGGTCCCAGCACCAGGACCTGCAGGCCCTCAGCTCTGACCAGAATCTTCCCTGGAGGGGATTATGTGAAAATGTAATCCAGGGCTTCATCAGCTCACCACCTGGAAGTTCTTTCTGAGTCCTAACTTCTGTCTGTTCTACAGCAATTTCTGGTGCCACAGAAAGCACTAAATTATACTGAACCCAGACTCTGCTGCTGCTTGTCAATAATGTGTCCCTGGCCACAGCACTTAACCCCTCTACAGACTGAGGAGGTCATTGCTTGCCTCACTATGAGGGTTTCATGAAATCACTGTACCAAATCAGGTGTGACTGTCAGTGTGCAGAGGAACAGGTTGACATTTTTAGAACAGCAGACTGTAAAAATTGAAAAATAAAGTATGTGCCAATTATTGAAACTCTACAACAACAATGCAATTAGAAAACAGTCACCTGGGATATTAGCACAGGAATGCTCTGTGCACCAACCCCTTCATTTCACAGATGTGGAACGAGAGATCTAGGGATAGTACTGGCCTATCTGAGAGCTCGCAATGGCACGGGAAGTCTCAGATTCTGATCTTCTGCCATGCATGGAGCACTTCTCTCACTATAATTGTTTTAGACTATTGGGTCCAAGGAAACTTTCACATACATCTCCCAGCCACGAGGCTGGCCCACTTCCCCATTCAGATCCTTTTGTCTAATAATTTTGCCACACCTCTGGTAAGTCCTTTCTTAGGCTAACCTTCGTCTTACATGCTGACAAGAGTTCCAGCCTTTTCTGGTCCTTCCTGGTGGATATCTCTCTACTGTGGCTCTTAAGATTGGCTCTGCAGAGCTCTGCCCCACCCCAGAACTGCTTCCTAGTTGAAGCCTTCTCTCCTAGTCCCAAGCACCACTTCTGCATGGTGGTGGCCTGGACTCAGTGGAGAAGATGGTTGTGAATTTGAGATAGACACTGACATCTGCAAATGGTTTAAACTGTGTCAAGACCATGTACTACCTTCCTCTCCATAGGCCTAAGAGAATGGGGACTCTGTCTATTGCTCACACCTGGGTCTCGAACCCCAGGCGCAGTGGATTGGACAAACCACTCTGGCCCCTGCTCAGTGGCCAAGTAACCACCTGGTACAGAAACTGCTCTGTGCCATCCATGTGATTCCCTCCAGGCAGTCTTCCAGTATCATCTTCACTAACCCTGCCATTGACATAGGGCATACATTCTTGCTATATGAGTAGCTGTTTGGCTTCAGATGCATTGAACACACATGGCAGTCCTTTGCTCAAGAGGCGATATTACCTCTCAGCTCTAACATTCTGCCCCTAGTTCTGCTTATGTCTTTTCAGTTTGTCTCTGCCATCAGACTCCTCCAGCAGCTCCTGACTCTACTCTTGCCTTTCTAGTCTTTCTGTGTCCTAGAGGTATGACTGCTTCTCCCTCCGGACCAGACTGAGAGCTTCCATGGACAAGGGCCCACCTTTGACTCTCTTCTTAGTGTCCAGTCTGAGTACTAAGCATGGGTGGAGTTCAAGAAGGTGTGATCAAGGACACCCACCTTGTCGATGAAGGCAGCGAACCTGCTGTTGAGGCACTTGATCTGCTCCTTCTCCTCCTGCTTCACGCACTGCGCACTGGGGTCGATCTCCAGGTTGAGGGGCGCGAGCAGGCTCTCGTTGACCGACACGGAGGTGATGCATGGAGGGCTGGGCCCGCACACGCCGCCGGAGCGATATCCGAAGCTGCGGCCACAGGTGCCGGAGTGGAAGGCCCCGCAGACACTCCGGCTGCTGAAGGCCCCGGTGATGCCGCGGTAGCAGGAGACGCCGCGGTAGGGGGCGGCCGTGATGCAGCAGCGGCCTGGCCTGGGCCCGCAGGCCGAGGCGCAGCTGAAGTTCCTGGGGCTGAACCCACAGTCCACGGAGCTGAAGCCACAGGTCATGCTGGAGATAAGGAGGTGTCTGAACAGTGGAGAAGCTGGCAGACGAGAGCCAAAGGCTTGTGCTCCCTGGGCTGTGGCAGGCCCTTTTATGCACCAGGGGCAGCTGGCATTAAAAGAGACAATAGCTGCATTTTATTGGCTTGGCATCATTCTGGACACTTAAGAGCCAACCCGCTTGCCTCTTCAGTGTAGTTGTGTCAACAATCCCTGGCCACAGGCCTGTTTCATCTTCAAAGCTCTTTACAAGCTTCCTTATTGCCTCTCCCCTTCCCATCGCTGCTGGAAGTGGAGATGGGAGAAGGGTCCTGGACGTTTCAGGTGGACTCCATGTTTGCTCTGTGTCCTGAGAATGGGGGCAGAACACCTGGGTGGAGCCTGCTCTCCAGATCCTTTCCTGGAAGGGGCATCACTGGGTCTTAGACCTATGACCTGGCCTCAGGGTAGAGTGCCTGCCCTATGCCAAGGAGGAGGCTGTGTCCCTAACAACCTCTTGTTCTATGCTTTATTGCCTTTCTCCATCTCCCTTTCTTCACTGTCAATATCAGCCTCTCCTAACCTGCTGCCACCAGGAGCCTAGTCAGGGATGGGGGTGGCGGCAGGCTTTGGGAGGGAGCATGGGCCCTGCACTTTGGGTGTTCCTAGGAAGGGAGAAGCCATGGGACACCAGCTGGGGCATGGGAGAAAGTGAGTCAGAGAGTTCCGGAAAGAACTACACTTGTTCATCACAATTCTGACCATCACTGCTAATGGAATAGGGGGCAGGAGCCAGAGTGTGAAATACCCAGAGTGCAGGGATTAATCAGGAAGACTACTGGGGAGTGGGTTTAAGGAGGACTAGGGTGGGATGGGGATAGGGCTGGGGGGAGGTGAGAAAGGAGTCTGCCCTTATTTGGAGACTAGACTGTGTAATCATGCCTTCCCTCATTCATTCACCTGGTTCTTACTGGTGCCCACCAGGCACTAGACACTTGCTGGGTTCTTGGAATTCAGCAGAGACCTGAAGTGTTTGGAGGTAGGAGAGGGTGGCATGCATATGGGGGTGCCAACATTTGGCTGGTGGCAAGGGGGAGGAGCCACCGGTGGAGGGAAGGCCCCACGATGCTGCATTGGGGTCTGATGGGGGGGGCTCGGGAGTCCTCTGAGTTCCCAGCAGGGATACTGAACAATGAAAATTGGTGTATACACACGCACCCAGAAGGATAAGCAGCACTGGAGGTGGGGGGAGGTCACCAGGGTGCTGAAATGGCACCAGGTCCTCCCCTCAGAGGACCCACAGGGTGAGAGTAGGTGGGGGCTCATGTGGCTGTACTGAAGGCCAGGCTCCTTTAATCTGCCCCTTCAGCACCATGGGCTAGGTAGGACTGGTGGTGGTTTTGATGCGTGGACAGTGGGACCATGCCAGGAGGTTCCCCAATCTGAGGATCTGAACCCACAAATCCTTCCAAGTGCCTGTTTCTTGACACCACCTTTGTACTTGAGGATGATTCCTCTGATGGACCCATTTCCTGACCAGCCACAAACAAATGCTGACCCAGCCTGGGCTAAAAGTAACCCTCCACGCATCTGCCTAGGGCCTCACCTTTTGCTCTCCCTGCTCTCTGGCAGGGTGAGGGGTCCAGTTATATCCCAGAGTGCGGGGTGGGGGGTGCCCTCACTGGGAGGGTGTGTGATGGTGCTGTGGAAACTGTCAGGGTGCTGTGCAACATTTGCATGGGTCCTGCAAAAAGAACACCCCAGCCCCTCCTCTTGGGCCCTCTGGATAGATTTCCAGAGACTCTTGTGTCTGGGGTGGGAACTCTGTGGGGTGGGCTGTGGATTTAGGGGCTTCTCCTGTAAGACATACATAGGAGGCAGGGCCTGGGGGTGCTAATTCTAGATGAATGGCTGGTGGATTTGGGGACAACTTTTGAGGGAGGCATGGCTGGTCAGTTTGTTCATGCTAGGCTGTTGGTTGGTCAAACATCTGCCAGACATCCAAGAAAGAACCAGATCTTTCTCTCCTCTTGTCTCAGCTGGACCTGGTGAGCACCTGGTAGGTTCTCAATGCATATTCATTATGTGATTATGTGAAATTTCTTGGGAAGATGCTGGTGGTGGTATCATCTTCCATGAAGCATTTCCCTATTACCATGCTGGTAATTGTTCTTCTGACCCTGCTCATCTGTCTCAACCCAGTGGGCTCGTCGAGATGGATCCTTCACTAAGGGTCTCTGTGTAGACACACCCACCCCTAGGGTGTGTGCCTAGGTTCCTGCCCTGATTGGAGGAGACAGTAGTGTGATCCAGAGATCAAAAGGCGTGGTTTGATAGATAAATCTCAAAATGTTACACTTAGTGAAAGATGCCAGATATAAAAAGTATATGCTGCATAATTTTATTTATGTGAAGTCCTAGAAAAGTCAAACTCAAAATCTATGGTGATAGAAATTAGACCAGTAGTTTTTTGAGGGTGGGGCAGGGTGAGTAGTGACTGGGAAAGAGGGGCAAAAGGGAACTTTCTGAGAGTGATGGAAATGTACTGGGTACTGATATGGATGGGTTTACATAAGGGTGTTGCATTTGTGAAAAGCTGGTAAAACTGTTCACTTAATATCTTTTTACTTCACTCTATGTAAATTATACCTCAATAAAATAATTTTTAAA